CTCGTCGTTGATACCATATACAGTGTTTGTATGTTTTGCATGGAGTGGTCGTGACCATTATCATCCCACTGACATCTCATCGTTAATACCATATGCAGGGTTTCGATGTATTACATGGTGAGGTCGTCTCGGTCGATACTGGAGGCCCTGCCGACAGAGCTGGGCTTAAGGTGTGCACAAACAACTTGTATATCTTCATCGTTGCGTATGTTGGTAGGTTTAGATGGCCGAATGTTGTAGCATTTTGTGTATTGTATGTTGGAGTAAAAATATATTTATAGATACACTTAGTCGCTCCTGATTGGCCGGTGTCTAAACCTGGGTAGTAGTCTTCTCAGGTGCATGTTGCCTGTGCCTGTGCTCTAACCGTGTGCGTACAAGGCTAGAAGCTACACACCGTACACCAGTGCATGGCCCTGGGGCGTCACTGCCACGGGTCCATAGCTGTAGGAGAATCCCACGCGAATACGTCCATTGCATTGAATACTGTGATGCTCACTGAGCTGGTTGCACCGTTGCACACCATGTCACTGAGTATGTGAGGTGTGCTTGTACTGCGTTTGCCGCTCTCCGGGATGGGGACTACATTGTGTAGGCGTGCTTCTGCTCGTTCGGTCACTCGACAAGTATGTTATGTACTGTGTGGTACTGGATGGGACCAGCCACGTGCACATAACCGTATGCTCAGCGTATACGCCTACCTGTGAGCAGCTTAATAACATGAGTGCGGCTTTTAACATACATCCTAACCATTACCATCTGTACCACTTACGCACAGGCGGGGTATCGTATTATGGCCATCAACGGCACGTCTGTGGTGGGGGTGTCACATGAGAAGATTGTCAAGACACTCGCCGCGGCAGAGGTCCACCTCACCACCATGCACAAGGACTTGTACTCTACTCTCGTGTTGCCTGCAGTCTATGCTGAATAAACGCACCCGCTGTGTGCACCTACAATATGACGGGGCTTGGTTGATGATTACTTACGTGTCGATGATGTGATGAGACTTCATTGATAATAACAAACCAACCTTTCGATGATCAGGGTTGGTTGTGGTCAAAGATTCGAACAGCACACTGTGTAGGGACTAGGCGTATGTGAGCTAGACGAACAAGTTGCGTCTACGTGATATTGATTTGAGTGTGTCCTTGGCTGTGGCCATATACAAAAAGGGCGCCGAATTGTACCGGTCACGACGTGTTCTACCATCTAAGGATAACAATACTTGACATTAATCTGAGATGTGTTTATGTATGTATGCATGTATTTCTGTATGTATGTATATATATATATACAAATATGTATGTAAGTATATATATATATATATATATATATATATATATATATATATATATATATATATATATATATATATATATATATATATATATATATATATATATATATATATATATATATATATATATATATATATGTATATATATATATATATATATATATA